GACGACCAGAAACATTATACGAAAGAATCTGTAAAGAAAGAAATAAGAAAGAAAGAAGAAGAATATCAAATAGATATCAAAAAGACTTTAGAAATGAAACCTGAAGAATTCAGAAGACAAAGGTTACCAAAGAGACTTGGACAACTTTGGGAGTAAACTGGAACACTGGAATAAACCTGGATCAACATCTCAGGCACTAAGACAAAGTAGATTTGAACCGCGATATGATTATCAAATAAAATACTCAAACTATAATCCCGAACCAGAAAATGACCAAGTATTGTTCACCGAACAAGACTTTAATAACTACAGGAAGAAAACAAATAATGAGTTAACAAGTGACTTATCATATAAAAGCAGTTCAACATACAATAGTGATCTAGCAAGAGATGATGAAGAAATCATAAAAAACATATCCAAAGGATTGTTTCAAAGAGAAGATGACTCAACATTCAAAGATACAGAAAGTATACCCAGTATACCGCCATTAGAACCAGATATACAAGAAATAATACTAAATCAAGAAAATACTAAATACGAAGTAGGGGAAGACGGATACTTAAAAGCAAAAAGCGATATAAGCGCAACCCAAGAACAACATGAACAAACAAAACAAATTGAAAGTGAACAAACTAAATCGCCATCATTCATAAAGAGTACTCTAAATTTTATAACCTCATCATACTTCAAAAAAGATAACAGTAGAAACATAGCTGTAAATGTAATAAAAGACCAAGCTACGGCTCAAATAAACAAACCAACAAACCAATTTGAGAGAACAAGAAAAGACTCATTTGAAAAGAGAAAACAAATGACAATGAAAGACTATAGACAGAAACTAGAAGAAGACAAAAATAATCTAAAAAATGAGTACCTAAAATTACAACAAGAACAACAACAGCTAAGAAATGAAGGACCTTCGATAATAACAGAATATAACAAAGATCCTATAGAAATAGGAATAAACCAAAAATCAGACTCACCATATCTAAGACCAGTAACAAGTAGACCTGGGACACCGAGTAATAAAGGAAAAACACCAGATTACGGATATGGAAATGAGGATAAAGAAATTAACATATTAGAAACAAAACCAATGGAAATGAAGAAAGGAATAAAACTAAAGATTCATGAAGAATTAGTACACATACCAAACGAGTATAGAAAACATATAATACCCACACTAGGAACCGGAAAACCATTACGAAGTAATGATTATCTAGTGCTACTACCAAACACTTGGACTGCAGTTAACATTGACAAAAAAGAGAATTATCTCGTAACAACACCATTGCATATTGCGAAAGAAGGCATATGCGTGCAGAATGGATTAATAAACGATTGGACAATCAGAATGATTAATTATACAAACAAACCCAAAGTAATACAAAAAGGAGATTATATCGGAAATATAACCAAAGTAGATAAAATAAGAACAATTAATGAAATTAACAAAGATCTAAAAAAGATTAAAGAACTTAATGATACGAATAAATACAAATACGACATAAAGATTGGAGAAAAGGAATTAACAGAAAAAGAACGAATAGAAATACTTATTAAAAACACTAATAAAGAATACAGAGAAAAGATGAAACCAATATTTAAAGAATATATGGAAATATTCCGAATGAAGAAAGAAAAAGGAACGACCTTTAATAAGAAATACTTTG